ATGCGGCCCGCCAGCGCGCACCCCCCAGCACACCGGCCCTGTGTGCAGCGCACCGTGCACCCAGGTGCGCGGCGCGTGCTGGTGCGCGCGCACCTCAGGTCCGCGCACCGCGCAGCGCACAGGGTCGATTGCCGCAAGTATGGAATGAACAAAAAAAATGTATGAAGTTTTGACACTGCGACTCTCTCTCTCTCTCTCTCTCTCTCTCTCTCTCTCTCTCTCTCTCTCTCTCTCTCTCTCTCTTTCTCTCTCTCTCTCTCTCTCTCGGTGCCTTGGCTAAGTTAGCCAGGGTTACGGGTGAACCCTTGCTAAAAACTCTGTACGCCGGCTGTCACTTTTTGTGGGAAAGGAAATACAGGTTCATGCCTTGGGAGCCGATGAGCTCGCTTCTCGCGCTACGATAGAGAACCTGCAATCTTGGGAGGAAAACGGCGCATGCGCCTTGAGTGTTTAGGTACTTGTTTGGGTCCCGAGGAGGATGGGCTCCGCATCGGTATTTCTATAGTTTTGGATTCTCTGTCGTGGCCCATTTATTTATTTATTTATTTTTGGTAGCTAGTAAGATTTTGGTGGATACAAAGACTTTCTGTCGGTCGGTTGTTCCCTGACACCAACACGCGACGCCAAGGGGTAACCGACCCCTAGCTATATAGGTGGACTTGTGCCTTTATTTTCCTATGTGTCGCCTAGGCGTCAGTACTTTAGCTTGTTTCCTGAGCTGGCACGCATGGCGCTCGGATGACTTCTTTCTTTTCTTTTCTTTTTCTTTGGGTGAGATGCTTTGTTTTGTTTCGTACCAGAGTAGGCTTGTACGGCGCTCGGTTGTCCAACGGTTGAGAAGTGGGCACGACCTACACACTAGGATAAATTTACGAGAGGTAGGGCCTGTGGCCTCTTTTTCGACTACAACGCTCTTCGAAGCGTACCTACCTGATGAGTCCGTGCAGACGGACGAAACCGGTCGTAGGATCTGCTCTGTCAAGTTCGGGAAGACGTTGACTATGGTGATACCATCAGTTGAGGACGAGCGTGAGAGACTCTTGTCGGCTGGAAGGTTGAAAGTGCCATTGGTTTATGTTTTCGTGCCTTTGGATTTTGCCATTGGTTCGTGCTTTGATATTGAGCCTTGGATGGTTTGTTCTCGCCTGATTTTGTGTCTAAGGAGGTTTTGTTCATGGCTCTATGTGTTTGCTGTGCCCTTCCCAACAGGCTGTCGCCGCAGTCTGCCACTCTTGGGAACACAGTAACCGAAGTACTACGAACTTGACGGTGGCTGTGACTTTGAGACGGTGTACTTCGTTGTTTTAGTCGAATAAGAGATTTGAGTAGGAATAGCTAGAATGGGTGGAGCGCTTGGGATAGTGTTTTTCAGATTCGGTTTTATAACAATAGGTCTTGGTTTTCTGATTGTCGCTTTTGCATTGTAAACCCACCATGCCTAACATTTGAGAAACATGCGAACTGATGAGAAGACGGACTAGCGATACGGCCGTTCGAGCGAGGTTGATTAACCTACTTCCGAACTACGTGCAATGCACACTACGGCCGATCTTCGTAACTACGAATCTCATCACGGAACCTAGAACTAGGACTGAGATCTACATAATACTCCAGACAGTACTGCAGCGGATTAGGAGAGCACTTCGCGTGCTTAGACAAAGACGTAGGTTGCGAAGAAGAGAAGTTGACGAGATCGCAGATATCTGGAGATTCTAAACGAGGGTCCTATTGGCTTTTTCGTCGACGTGAAATCGATTGAATAGCCCACGCTAGGTAGACTGTCACAAGTTTTGAAGAATGGTGGGATTATGAGAGGGAACTGGATGAATAACAACGGAGGTTTTGGTAATAATTTTGGAGATATGGGAAGCAATGGAGGCAACAGAGGATGGGGAGGAAAACAAAACGGACCACAGTGCTATGATTGTGGGAAGTACGACCATATCGCTCGGGAGTGTTGGTTCGAGCGAGGAAGAACGGCTCAGCAGGATGACGAAATGCATGTCTTCGTCATAGACCTGAAGGAGAAAGCTGAAGAAAGGAAGCGGAGAGAGGAGGAACATAAGAAACTCAGGGAGGATGAAGAAAGGAGAAGGGAGACAGATATGGCAAGAAGAACGGAGGAGCTCAGACTGCAACTCCAAGTAGAGATTGTTGATATGCGGAAGAAACAGCAAGCAAAAGCGGCAACCAAGGCTAGGGAACAAGAATCAAGGCAACAAGATCTAAAACGTACTACTCCGAAGAATGTCCTTAGGATATCACCTCACAGCAAGCTGATTCCTAAGGAGAAAGAGAGAAAGAAGAAGTCCAAGAAACAAGCTGCGAAGACCGCCCTGGAGATTCTTGAGTCCTCAACATCCACCACGGAAGATAGTAGTAGTTCGGCCTCCGAGAAATCTTCGGACTTCGGGAAGGAGATGACGCAGATCGCTAAACTGCTCAAGGAAGAAAAAAAGAAGGCATGGGCCAAGAAGAAGAAACGCGTCACCAAGAGGACGACCAAGAAGGGCCCTATCGGTACTATGGAGAAGGGAGAATGTTCTATGAGATCTAACTCACCGACTCCACCCACCAAGGGGAGCCCCATCGAGCCTAGGACGCCTCTCATGGGAGGATACAAAGGAATCGCGGCGGGATGCTCGAAGGAAGGTTTTATGGACTACACACTCGCAGTGATGAAGCAATATTCTGCTCAGAAAACGTCACAACTTCGGTGGCTGTGCACGAAGCACGAAATTAAGTCTACCAAAAAGAACAACATGGTCATGGAGCTGGTGAGAAGGCAAACAGATTTGGCTTACGTAGGTTTCTTCGGTACTCCACTCACTACGAAAACTACTTCCTTGAAGATCAAGCTCGAAACCGCGAAAGTTTCCGGGTCACCACCACGAGCTACCAAGTCTTCGATTACGAGGGGAAAGGCGAAGCTCTCTGAGATTCCGAGGAAGATACTGTGATCGGCGCCCGCTGTCGAGTCTGACCATGAGTTGGGTCCAGCAACGGAACAGGAGTCTGATTGACGGTGGCAACCCTCTACCGCTGAGCTTTGGGCAACCTTACGCTCATGCATGGATCAATGAGCTACCCTACGAGGGTGGGGTATCAAAGGAGATGAAGTTGCAATAGTGGAGAGGATGATTACCTCTACCACTATCCTTTTGGCGTGTACTGGACAATTGAAGTGGTTGTCGAAGTATTTGGACAAGATGGAGCTTACGAAGGAAGTCCTGGAACTAAAGACTGGTGGTACCTACACGATTTTGAGCCCGTGGTCCAAACTTGTATACGTCGGCTGCACGGTTAGGTCGATCCTGCATAGATGGAAGCAACATCTGTCTGTCGCTGCAGCCAAGGAGCTTGGTAAAGCACCACATCTGTATAGATGGATGAGAACATTCGGACTGGATAGGTTCGTGGTCATCCCGATCAGACACACGACTGAAGAAGATGATTTTGTGTTTGAGAAGCATCTGATTCGAGACCTGTCCCCCAGCCTAAATACAGTAGGCTTAGGTGGGAGACTGGGAAGGAGAGCGAGGAAACGAAGTGGGAGACATGAAAGGAAGAGACGGGGAACAATGACTTCAGGGAAAATGGTGGTAAGCGTCGATGTGAATGGCGTAGTAAGAACCTCTCTTCTCAACTGGCTTTCGGAGAAGCATGTGACCCGGGAGAAGAACCAAGAGCTAGAGGTAGTATTCAAAGATGGAAAGTCATGGACTGACGGGTGGAAGGACATTGCAGCTAAGTTCAGGGAAACGACGATACGAATGGGCGAAAGTGTTCTGCAGTTGAAGCACGCGAAAGAGATCTGCCAGCAAGGAGGGACCTGTCGTTTCAGAAGATCGCAAGAACTGCTACGACTACAGAGAGACACAAGGCTACTCTTCGGCGACTACTCAAGCAACCAAGGATGGCTGGATCACTCACACGTTACTCCGCAAGCAAACTCGTTGGCCTCTACAGGATTGCGAGTTTGTTCGCTAGGAAGGAGACCAGGAACAGACTCAAACTGAAGATTGACTGTTCTATAAAACGGAAGACTGGGGTCAGCGTCAGGAGGAGGGTGACAATAAAGTATCCCTACTGTGCTAGGATACAGAAAACAGAGGTAAGGAGAGTCACCGAGAGGGTCATTGAGTCAAAAGTTATGAACGAGTCTGTGGCCGCGTTCATCAAGAGGGAAGTTCGAATAGTCAACACTAGGAACGGAACGGTAGGAGAGATCATGCACACGCACCGACGATACGCTCATACGCTTCAGGCTCGCTGTCCATGTGCTAGGCCTAAGCTTGCAAAACACGCCGGCCATGTTCTTACCAGATTTGCGGACATGACTGATGTCCCCACGTTCGTGCAGAATGCTAAGAACGTGACCAGGAACGAACGGCCTAGACAGGCTAAGGAAATTGTGTACGGAGTGTTGACTGCTACGGCACATCTTAAGCACCATCCAGACGACGTGATCGACGTAGGGAGATGCTTCACCACCACGGGAACGAACAGTAGGCTGGAGGTTGGTGAAAGGCTGGAGGATGGTGGACGGCGTTTCCATCATTGTGGGATGTACGGACACAAGTAGTTCCTCATAAAAAACCCTAAAGATCTTGATGGCGTTTGAGTTGGCCTATGACGAGAGACTCAAACTCGTCCGCAAGGACGAACATGAGAACTCCTGGCCATTCATTGGAGGCAGAATGTATCTGATGTCGGAACCCGTACAAGTACATTGCGTACAAGACACGAAGAATACAAAGTCACTGCGAACCGTCGACAAGTTAAGGTACCAATCCATGCAGAACTTCGCCAGCTATTCGGAGAAAAGGACCAAGAAAGTCGTACTATCTACAGCATTAAGGAGAGTCTGGTACTCTTGGACCTCTGTGGCTCTGGCGATTGGACCGGTCATGTATACGTTGGCTGAAAGCTACCTCCGGGGATACCCCCCGAAGGTCTCTCTCGATGTCTTGGCTAAGTTAGCCAAGGTTCGGGTGAGCCCCTGCTAAAAACTTTGTACGCCGGCTGTCACTTTTTGTGGGAAAGGAAATCCAGGTTCATGGCTTGGGAGCCGATGAGCTCGCTTCTCGCGCTACGATAGTGAACCTGCGATCTTGGGAGGAAAACGGCGCACGAGCCTTCAGTGTTTAGGTACTTGTTTGGGTCGTGATGAGGACGGGCTCCGCATCGGTATTTCTATAGTTTTGGATTCTCTGTCGTGGCCCTTTTTTTTTTTTTTTTTTTTTTTGGTAGCTAGTAAGATTTTGGTAGATAGAAAGACTTTCTGTCGGTTAGTTGTTCCCTGACACCGACACGCAGCGCCAAGGGGTAACCGACCCCTAGCTATATAGGCGAACTTGTGCCTTTATTTTCCTATGTGTCTCCTAGGCGCCAGTACTTTAGCTTGTTTCCTGAGTTGCCACTCACGGCACTCGGATGGCTTCTTTCTTTTCTCTTCTTTCCTCCTTTTCTTTTCCTTTTCTTTGGGTGTGATGCTTTGTTTTGTTTCGTACCGGAGTAGGCTTGTATGACGCTCGGTTGTCCCAACGGCTAAGAAGTAGGCACGACCTACACACTAGGAGAAATTTACGAGAGGCAAGGCATGTGGCCTCTTTTTCGGCTACAACGCTCTTCGAAGCGTACCTACCTGCTAACTCTGTGCAGACGGACGAAACCGATCGTAGGATCTGCTCTGTCGAGTTCGGGAAGACGTTGGCTATGGTGATACCATGAGTTGAGGACGTGCCTGAGAGACTCTTGTCGGCTGGAGGGTTGAACGTGCCATTGGTTTATGTTTTCGTGCCTTTGGATTTTGCAATTCGTCTGTGCTTTTATATTGAGCCTTGGCTGGTTTGTTCTCGTCCGGTTTTGTGTCTAAGGAGGTTTCGTTCATGACTCTATGTGTTTGCTGTGCCCTTCCCAACAGGCTATCGCCGCAGTCTCTCTCTCTCTCTCTCTCTCTCTCTCTCTCTCTCTCTCTCTCTCTCTCTCT